AAGTGGTCTGGGTGCCAGGTCCCTCTAGTTTTAACCATGCACTGAAACATAGCAGTTTCAGAGAACCTGCTAGGTTTCACTGAGGGTTAATCCAGCCTCTAGTGGCTGTCTCACTGACAGCCCCTAGAGGTGCTTCTGCCATTCTCACTGTGAAAATCACAGTGAGAAGACGCTGGACCTATATAGGAAAGCATTGAGTAATACTTTTCTATGGGCGGTTTGAATGAGTGCACGGCTCTTGCTGCACATTCAAATCTGACGTCGGCAGAGGGAGGAGAGTTCCCCAGCGCCGAGGGAGCCCAGCTCAGGTGAAAGGTAAGTGGCTGAAGAGGTTTTAACCCCTTTTGTCCAGCGGGAGGGGGGTCCTGAGGGTGGGAGGGACCTAATGACCCTATAGTGACAGGAAAACGAGTTTGTTTTTCTGGCACTATAGTGCTCATTTAATATTTTGTCTACGAAGGGCCCCGGATCTAATTTTGTCCGGGGGCCCAGAAGGCTGTCAGTCCGTCCCTGTATACATTTATATATTAATATAACTTTAAAGTCACAACTGCCTGCAAAAATGGACAATTATAATGTTTATTATTATTTTATAATTTTCAAAGGGCCTTATAGTGGATAAACAAAACATGATTTAATTTCAACACACAGAGGTTCATTATACAAACACTCTCTAAAATCACTGCCCCCCACCATGCTAGAAAAACTTTCAATACATATATGTTTCTTTAAATGGTTGCTCCAACAATCAAAATCAATATATTCTGCTTCTGTTTCATAAGGAAACGCTACATACAGACTCCAAGCATCATGACCACTTCAAATCACTGAAGTGATTATGGTGCTTGGTGTAACCCTCTGAAACAAACTGTTCTGAACAAAGATTAAGGTAATACCAAAGCCAAAACGCAGAAGGGTGTATATTATAGTAAATGTTCTTCCTCTTTGTTCCTGCTCTCCCTACAAATTTCTAATTTTTTTAATTGTGGCTTGTGATATTATTTATTATTATATAATATATTTTCCTCCAAATTTTAATTTCTATTTATCTGTTAAATGTGCTGACATATATACATATTTATGTATGATATCTTGTTTTTTTCAAATTTACTGATGAGCTTACTAATCTTACTAGCTTTACATTTATTTATCTTACATTTCTTATATAGCTGTCTTAAACACTTTACAAATTAATAAAAAGACATAGATGGATTTCTGACAGATGAATATATAATTATCAAACATACTGCACTTTTAGCTGGAAAAATTCCAGCAAAAAAGTACAGAGAAATGGATTACTGGGGTACTAAAAAGGGCCTAACCCTTATATTAACAAATAAACAAAGAAAAAGAGGGGCAAGAATCCCAGAAACACCGGGAGTAGATCCCCTCAGGACTAGTACCCCCTATAGAGCAATAAATTTTATTTGCCCACTAACCGTGTATAGAAAAAATAATAAAGATTTATTGAAAAAGATTAAAAATCCCATAGATAGTGTGCTATAATACACCAAACTGCTATAAACTAGGAATAAAGGGAATCAGCTAGAGTGCACATAACTATATGATACATTTGGATACTGAGTTGCACAAAATCCAGTAGAAAAGTAGTAAGCACATAAGCTATTTCAAATTAGCAACAGTATCCATGTAGTGACACATGTAAATATAGTAGACACCAGCTAAAAGCTGCATTCCAATTCCTACACAAAACGAATATACTCTTCACTATTAGATATCCAGATTAAGTATAAAATGTATAGATATTAATGGTTAAATACATATATAGATAGGTATATCTTGGCCACAGTGGCTTCAAGTATCTTTATCAAAGTAAGTAAATCGAAAGGACAGGAAGATATCAGTGGAGAGAATGAAGAATAAAGTGGGGAGGCAATAGAAGATGTTCAATAGGTCAAATGACCCTGAACTATAATTCAACCGATGCAAACAGGCTAGTTGCCCAAGTACACCCCCCCCCACCACATATAGCAGGAGCCCAACGCGTGTTTCGGCGGTAATGTCCGCCTTTCTCAAGGGTATGATAGTGTGCAAATATCCTCCCTTAGTCCTCTCCCTTATATGCACTTACAATTGGCGCCAAAACATGCCCGCCCGTCATAGGGGGGCTTGGTCTTCATTTTGACACGCCCACATATTTCGTCCAAAGAAAGAGGGCGGGTGGGAAAAGGGTTTCAGGATGCCCAAGTGCCTTGCCAATAGAGGTAGACCCACACATATAAAATCCGGCAAAAAGCGCATGCGTCTAAGGTCGATACTCGGTCAGAAAAAGAACGCATGCGCACACACTTAGCCGGCATCGACGGAGTCCCTAATATGCCAAAAGTCCTCTGGAGGCTATTGCACATGCGCTGAAGCTGGCGTTTCGCCAGAAAGACGCGCATGTGCAAATCCTCACATAGAAAGATACAATTTAAACACACTATGATACCATAGTTCCATTCAAGGTCATATATTTCTTAAAGTTAAGTATAAAGTAACACAGTATAAAAGTAAGTAACCAGAAATGTATATGTATATACATAATGCTTGGAAAACATGAAACAATATCATAGAGAAGATGAAAATAAAGGAAAATTAGGACTCTATTGTGGAGAGGAACAAAAAAGGGGATAAATTAAGAAATAAACAATAATGCAAAAAATAATAGTAATACTAGCAATTCCTAAAAAATTGGCATGTCCATTTAAAGTTACAGATATTCTGAAAGCTGGAAAAAAAGGGGAGAAAAATAAATAGATAAACCCTACAAATATTAATCCAGATCAAAACTGTATTTATAAATATTAGACAGCATATCCAGTGGTAAATCACCGGCAGAGTCAATTCTTCCAGATCCAAGTTATATTCACTGATATTAGGGCATGTACCCAAAATTGGATCACCCATGTGATCAGTCAATAATGGTCAAATAAATCCTTATAAATCGAAAGGAGAATTATTAAAAGTGTGATGTAGCCCAGATATAGCTCGCGAGACTTTATACAGATGTATATATACATTTATATATCTCCAATATAACAGATCAAATAAACGGAGCAAACGAGAAACCCTCATTTAGACCCAAAGGTTGTAAAGTCTTGAGTCTATAGATCCATCTAGATTCTCTCTGTCTTAATAAACGATCATAGTTCCCTCGCCTCGGATGTCTCTTAACCCATTCAAGGCCACAGAACTTCAAGTTACTAGAATCACTTTGATGGTATTCTTTAAGGTGTCTTGAAATTGGTGTTTCAAGGCGGTTCTTAGGGGACCTTACATGTTCCATAATTCTTTCTTTGAAAGCTCTAAAAGTCTTGCCTACGTACTTTTGTCCACACGAACAGGACAAGAGATACACCAGGCCCTTCGTGTTGCAATTAAAAAAGTTTTTAATCTTGATAGAGACTTGACCAGTACTATCATTCACTGTTTTGGATTCTTTAGAGATATATTTACAAGCTACACATCTACCACAGCCATAGGAGCCACATGGAGGATTACCCAGCCATGTGTCCCGTGGCTGTGGTTTAATCGATAGATGGCTTGGTACTAATAGGTCTCGAACATTACGACCCCTTCTGGCCGTAATATTAATACATGGACCTAGGACCTCTTTCAAATGTGCATCATTCAAAAGGAGCGGCCAAAATCTATTCAGGCACTTTCTTACTTCAGACCATCCCGTATCATATGTGGCGATCATCCGAATGTCGCCTGTATTTTTCGAGATTTTGTTCTCGGGATGGTCACTAAGAAGTTCTTTTCTATCAGTTTCAAGTGCTCTCTTGTAAGCTTTTTTAAGACAGCGATTAGGGTAGCCTTTCTCCTTAAAATATAAACGAAGTTGATTTGCCTTTATTTTGAAATCTGCTAAATCACTACAGTTTCTCCGAAGGCGAAGATATTGGCAAACCGGAATCCCCGCCTTAAGAGGCCTTGGATGATAACTATTCCAATGGAGCAGGGAATTTGTAGCGGTCGGTTTTCTGTATAAGGTGGATTGAAGTGTCCCGTCCTCATTGATGGAAATCGTGATGTCTAGAAAATTTATTGAACGTCCCCCAAATTCCGAAGTGAATCTGAGGTTCTCCGTATTCTGATTTAGACATTCCACTAAATCTACAAATTCCTGTGGGGACCCTTGCCATACCAATAGAATATCATCGATATAGCGTCCCCACCATAGGATCTTCGGGAGATAATCCCTCAAAATTTCTGAGGAAAAGATGTCTTTTTCCCACCACCCCAGGTGGAGGTTTGCATACGAAGGGGCACAGGCTGTCCCCATCGCATTACCCCTCACCTGGTGATAGAACTTCGTATTAAACAGGAAATAATTATGTGATAGAATAAATTCTAAAAGGCGTACCACAAAATCTGCATGAAGATCATCTCTATGTGTCCTTTGGTTTAGGAAGAATCTTACATGTTCAAGGCCCCTATTATGGGGGATAGATGAATAGAGTGATTCAACATCCAAACTACAAAGGTTTGCACTTGAGGATAGCTTAAGTTTAGAAAGTAGATTCAAAGCTTGTTTAGTATCTCTTATGTATGATGGCAAAGTCTCTACCAAAGGTCTCAAAATTTTATCCACGTACAGGCTACCATTCTGCGTAAGATTATCAATCCCAGAGACTATAGGTCGCCCTGGAGGGTCCTGTAAGTTTTTATGGATTTTCGGCAGGCAGTAGAAGGTTGCTATCTTATGCTGACGATTAAGAACAAATTCATACTCGTCACCCGATAGCAACCCTCCACTGCGGCCTTCGTCCAAAATTTCCTTATATTTTCCCAGATAGTCATTGGTAGGATCAAATTTCAGGATCCTATATGTCTGTTCATCACTCAGGGTACGTTCCACCATCCCTATATATTTACATGTATCAAGGATTACTACATTGCCCCCCTTGTCAGCTGGCTTAATAATAATACAGGTGTTTGCCTTAAGTGAATCCAGAGCAAGCCTCTCCTTTTTATTTAGATTATTATTTGAATGATAATCAAAAGATTTGACATTAATTTTTTCAATTTCGTTCTTTGCTGCTTCCAAAAATAGTTCAATATTCCGGAAGCCCGCAAAGTTCGGTGTATATCTACTTTTCGGTTTCAAATTTGTACGATTTAGGACATTCGTTGTGTCATTCTCCTCCAGAAGGGACAATAATGTGGTTAAACACTGATAGTCTTTAGGTGTAAGACCTAAGTCTCTGGCTTTTTTCTCATTTTGTACAGAATGGAATTTAAATAAGGCAAGTTTTCGAACAAAAAGATTCAAGTCTTTAATCCACTCAAATCTATCAAAGACAGGGGTTGGAACAAAAGAAAGACCTCGTTCTAAAACATTTATTTGGTCTTGAGATAGTATACATGAAGACAGATTCACAACCTGGGATTTAGAATGGGTTAGACTTAGAGTCTCATTTAATATCGTGTCCTTCTCCCTCCTCCCCTTCCTCCTTTTCCTCCCCTTGGGGTTCGAGTCTGATATCTCGTACGTTGACTTGGAAATTCCTCCTGATGGTCTAGGGCTAAAAAATTCACCCCTTTTTTGAGGATTCCCTTGGGGTTAGAATTACTCATGGAGGTGGAAGGTTGTGTTTGGGAGTCGGATATATTCTGTTGGCTACTAGAGTCTGTATCGGATGAATCGTAATCTGATGTTAATAAGTTTTCTGAAGTACGTCTTATTCTGCGATTAAACAGTTTATAGACATTCCCAGTATCATAATCCTGTAGATCTCTTAGGAATTTTTGGTGTTTCCTTGATTTAATTATCTCCTGATATTTATCCAGGTTCTGTTTCAGCCTGGATTCAAGGAAAACAAAATTGGGATCCTCTTGAAACTGTTTAATTGTGTTAATCTCTTCCTCCAAGTTTCCATTAACAGTTTTTAGTTGTTCCTGTTCAAACTTGCAGATAATCTGCATAAATGTTTTAGAACATATTCCTGCTGCTGCTTCCCATTCCTCCATTAGAGCTATATTTTCAGAATAGGAGGATGGGGTATTTCTTATCCTTAGTCCTCTAGGTATCATATTCTTTTTTATATAATTCTCTAATGAGGAGATTTCCCAGCATGTACGAATTTGTTTTTTATATAAACCTTGGAGTTTATTAAATGATTGATTAACATTAGGTGTAACCATACTAGAATTAAGTTCTGTATTTGAGAAAACATTATCTGCGTCTTTACACCAAATACTGCTATCCACCTTGTTAGATAGGAAACCTGCCATAGTATAAATATGGATATTGGAAAGTAAATATATCTTGTAAAGTGTAGTATAATATATTATTGCTCCAGTAAACCTGGTATTAAAACCTTAAATAGCTATATATCAAACACATTGCACTTTTAGCTGGAAAAATTCCAGCAAAAAAGTACAGAGAAATGGATTACTGGGGTACTAAAAAGGGCCTAACCACTGGATATGCTGTCTAATATTATTAAATACAGTTTTGATCTGGATTAATATTTGTAGGGTTTATCTATTTATTTTTCTCCCCTTTTTTTCCAGCTTTCAGAATATCTGTAACTTTAAATGGACATGCCAATTTTTTAGGAATTGCTAGTATTACTATTATTTTTTGCATTATTGTTTATTTCTTAATTTATCCCCTTTTTTGTTCCTCTCCACAATAGAGTCCTAATTTTCCTTTATTTTCATCTTCTCTATGATATTGTTTCATGTTTTCCAAGCATTATGTATATACATATACATTTCTGGTTACTTACTTTTATACTGTGTTACTTTATACTTAACTTTAAGAAATATATGACCTTGAATGGAACTATGGTATCATAGTGTGTTTAAATTGTATCTTTCTATGTGAGGATTTGCACATGCGCGTCTTTCTGGCGAAACGCCAGCTTCAGCGCATGTGCAATAGCCTCCAGAGGACTTTTGGCATATTAGGGACTCCATCGATGCCGGCTAAGTGTGTGCGCATGCGTTCTTTTTCTGACCGAGTATCGGCCTTAGACGCATGCGCTTTTTGCCGGATTTTATATGTGTGGGTCTACCTCTATTGGCAAGGCACTTGGGCATCCTGAAACCCTTTTCCCACCCGCCCTCTTTCTTTGGACGAAATATGTGGGCGTGTCAAAATGAAGACCAAGCCCCCCTATGACGGGCGGGCATGTTTTGGCGCCAATTGTAAGTGCATATAAGGGAGAGGACTAAGGGAGGATATTTGCACACTATCATACCCTTGAGAAAGGCGGACATTACCGCCGAAACACGCGTTGGGCTCCTGCTATATGTGGTGGGGGGGGGTGTACTTGGGCAACTAGCCTGTTTGCATCGGTTGAATTATAGTTCAGGGTCATTTGACCTATTGAACATCTTCTATTGCCTCCCCACTTTATTCTTCATTCTCTCCACTGATATCTTCCTGTCCTTTCGATTTACTTACTTTGATAAAGATACTTGAAGCCACTGTGGCCAAGATATACCTATCTATATATGTATTTAACCATTAATATCTATGCATTTTATACTTAATCTGGATATCTAATAGTGAAGAGTATATTCGTTTTGTGTAGGAATTGGAATGCAGCTTTTAGCTGGTGTCTACTATATTTAAATGTGTCACTACATGGATACTGTTGCTAATTTGAAATAGCTTATGTGCTTACTACTTTTCTACTGGATTTTGTGCAACTCAGTATCCAAATGTATCATATAGTTATGTGCACTCTAGCTGATTCCCTTTATTCCTAGTTTATAGCAGTTTGGTGTATTATAGCACACTATCTATGGGATTTTTAATCTTTTTCAATAAATCTTTATTATTTTTTCTATACACGGTTAGTGGGCAAATAAAATTTATTGCTCTATAGGGGGTACTAGTCCTGAGGGGATCTACTCCCGGTGTTTCTGGGATTCTTGCCCCTCTTTTTCTTTGTTTATTTGAATATATAATTATACTGAGACAAAAGAAGGCGAGAATTATGCTCATGCACTTCAACTCAGTGTCTGCTAGAACCACTTTTTTCTAAAACATAATCTAAATTTATATATACACACAAGGTCTTTCCAAAAAAAGTCCACCAATAAGTAATATAATTATTAGTTAATATAATAAAAATGGTTTGTGCAACATCAATGTAACCTGGCAGCCAAGGAGAGTGAACTGGAATGCGCATGTATGAACAATGACGACTTCACTATACTAGTCATTGGGGGCGCTAGAAAATGTTGAGTGAGCATTGGTAATGTGTGACTGTCGCATTCAAAATGATGATCGAGTAGAGCAACAATGCTGCTTTAAATTTGCATTAACCTTTAACATTTTTCTGCGAAAACTACTCTGATAATTCAGAAGGATTTTAGGGATGATGCAATAAGTGCAGTGCAAATAAAAATTTGGCACAAATGCTTCAAAGATAGTCAAGAATGTGTTGAACGATTTGGTGCCTTGTAACTTCTAGCTTTTCCCAAAACTTAAATCAGAGATTTCAGACAATCGATTTGATTTAGGTTAATATGACGAGGCACCGATTCCATCATAGGCTTAAAGGAGTGTTTTGAAGAGTGGAAGAGATGCTGGGAGAACTGTGTGAGGTCCCAAGGTACCTACTTTGAAGGGGACTGATGTGTCATTGCCCTATGTACAATGTTTCTTGCATCTTGTATCTTCTTCAATAAATATCTCTATTTTTCATATTCCATGGCTGGATACTTTCTGAACAGACCTAGTTTATTTTACTGCTGCTCCATTTCCCCCCCCTTTATTGATAATTTCTCATTTGCTCTGTTAATTTAATCAACATTTAGTGGCTGTCAATCATCAGTAATCTTTTTTTCAATCAGTCATCAATCTAAAAAATAAAATAAAAATTAAGAATCATAAATCAAAACAAAAACACTGTGAGTTTCCGTTGGTTTTTATTCAACTATATTTCATCTCGGAATTTGGGAATCAGCCCAAATTTGGATGAATTGCAGTTTGGGATGAAATAAAACTCCAAGTCTAGAATCTGCCATGCCTCCTACAAAGTGCTATGGAACACAGACTTAACATATAAGTGCATTGATACAGTAGGTTGCAAGGAGAAAATACAATTGATATGAGTCTTGCATTACTATGAGTTTGTATTTGAAAACAATGAGTACACAGTAAATTAAGTAGAAAATAAACCTAGAATAAACCAGTTTTGTTGATATAGATCAAGACCTTTGCCAATCATTCTTGCAGTGAACGCAAGGTGAACAGATGAGTGATGGTAAGTGCAGTTCTTATTTTAGAAAAAGGCAAATAGTTAAAGACTGTTAAGAGTTCAATCTGTGCACTGAAGGCTTGAAGGCCATTTTAACATGTCCAATGAAATGGAAGTAACATCTCTATTCCTTGCGTGACTTATAGTACTATTAAAAATGTATTACTTTAAAAAAAGATGGTTTTCTATGGGCAAATGGTTTAACTAAATGAGTTAGTTTATAGTTCTGTTTATGTCATATTCATATAATGTGACAAAGTGTTCAAACTATTCAATTCACATAGACTGGATAATTCACGTTCTAATGAGAGTAGATTTTCTAATAAAAGGTGATAATTCAATCCTGAGTACTTTGCTAAAGATGGAATTTCTAAGATTTGTGGATCTCCATAACCCTTGAACACACGACCCTAGAAAGCCACTGTGTTGAAAGCCACCAACCCTAAAGTTAGTTAAAGAATTCAATGTAGATAATGAATTAGAATACACTATGAAGCCCTTATGAGGCTCAAAGCAGCTTATTTAAGCAAAGGTATAATGTTTATGGCTCTTGTTCCACTTTTAGGTTGGGTTGCAAGACGTAAACAGAAAGCTTAATGTACGGACATTTTTGCTTACAATGACTGGCACAAGTACATTGTAAACTGTTGCATCTATCATACAAATAATTTATCAACACAAAGTCAAATATTGGCAACCCTTTTACTGTTCTAGATTGACTAAGATACAATCCTCCTTCCTTTAGTTTTTTTCTTGGACCCTACAGGAACCTACAGACTTAGAAATACCATCTGTCACAAACGTACCCTACTTCAAGAGTGTGCATGACGTAGTTGTGGTGGTAAAAGGGTTAAAGTTCATTAATTGTCTGCACTAGACTGGAAATAATGATAAAATCCCTCTTAACACAACCCACACTTAAGTATTATAATATATATATTACTATTTTAACGCTGCCACTACCAAGACAATTTATAAATGGGGTACCTTGGTACCCCCTTGTGTTCCAGACCAACATCAATCCAAATGGAAACATTTGGTTCTATCTCCTCCCATGTACTTGCCACATAAATAATAATTGCATCTGTGAATGTGTTACCATTTTTCCAATCCATAGATATGGCATATTCTTTACTTGTGACCCAATATAGTGGACATCACAATCCCTTCCCCTATGGTTAAGTTACCCAAATCATGTTTGGGCTTGATTAGAAGATTGTGCTTGTCTAAATATAATAAAAATGAGGCTTAATTATTGATCTGTGGGTAAATATTAATGTTTCTCTTGGATATGATACTGGAACAAAAGGCTCATGGCCATTAACATATCAAAGGACCCCCTATCTAAGAGGCAATCTAGACATATGGCAAATTAGAGAGTTAGTTTATATTTAAACCAGACTTCCAGGCCACTTATGTGTGACTCCTCACACCTTGCACATCAATCCATATGGTAAACCATCTGACCCATTTCACATTCCTTTGCAATTTACATTAACCCTTCTTTCATCTGATCTTACAACCAATTGGCCAATTAATATATGCACTACACAAATTATATTAAATGGCAATATTCTATTGTGCGACAATGAATTATGCACCCTTCGCGTGACACCATCTGCATCTTATGTCTAGATTGGTTTCCAGAGGAAAACTGGCAGAAGCTTATCAATAAGTAATCTTTTGTTGCAAGAGTCATGTACCCCAAGGATCAAATGTTTATATAGGTCCATATTATTAAGTTAATTAATTGG